TACTACAGATTCCTTTGTCACATGTCCTCCTGCACACTTCTCACATCTAGGAATCTCCCTCCTACACACTGCTGCCAAATAGCTATAAGCTTGACACCTAAAACACCGTAATGGATTAGGGACAAAAGCTCTCACTGGATAACTGACACATCCTAACTTGACTTTATCTGGTAAAGACTCTGCATCAAAACTTCTCTGTTTCACCACGCTCTCCACTGAGTCTGCGTCGCACCTAACGGCAGGCGTCCCAGACACCGTTAATTTTCAACTTCAGTTGATCCTCCTCAACACTTAACGACACTCCAGTTATCACTCCTTCTCTGGAGAGGAAAGTACGTCACAGTTCTTGTCCCAAGTAGCGTGGTGCGGAGCACACATTCCCTCTGGACGGCAGAAATGCAAAAAATCGACACGATTCCACTTCAAGTCACTTTCACCTACCCAACATTCCCCAACTTCCTCTCCACCCAACCTCACACCACATACAGCATGGATCAGCCAGAAGGCAAGGAACCATTCTCTCCAAAGATCTCACTCCCACTGGGCCAAAATAATTTTTGATCACCATCGGGACGAGGCTCAAACTCTGCGGTGTTCACCGCACCTGCCACCGCAGTTAATTAATCCTCACTCTCATCATGTTAAATTTCCTTATGCAGTGCTCCATATTTACTTTTAATATGTTCCACTTCCTTCCTTTATTTCCTGCCCGCCTTCTTAACAACCTCTATGGCCCTCAAACTCAACTCTGAACCTCGAGTCCAGTTCCACTGCAATTTTTCATTGTTTCCCTCTAATCAGGGACTGATTTAGACCTGGGACACCAGGTGTGTGCAATTAATTATCAGGTATAACAGAGAACCAGCAGGCTCCGGACATCGTAGGGTAAGAGTTGAGTACCCCTGCTCTATGGGTTCCCCTGACTCCATTGCCAAATCCGACAACCATTCTGACGTACCCGCTATCTTGTCTATCATTAAGTACAGTCTCCCTATCCTTAGTCATAGTGGTATATTCCAAATAATACAAATTGCATTATGGGAAAAGCTGACTAGAGGATGTTTGTGATGCTCGTCGTTTGGTGCGACACAAACAGGGTGGCGAGAGTGGGGAAACAGAAGAGTCATTGTCTGTTCTTTTGAGTTTTGAAGTTGAGTCTTTGCCTGACAAAGTGAAGTTAGGATATATAAGTTATCCTGTACGAGCTTATGTGCCAAATACATTACGATGTTACAGGTGTCCAACTTATGGGCATGTGGCAGCAGTGTGTAGGAGGGAGGTTCCAAGGTGTGAGAAGTGTGCAGAAGGGCATGAGACAAAGGAATGTGTAGCATTGGGGAAAGTAGTGGTATGTGCTAATTATAGGGGTGCCCATGGGGCTGGGGATCAGAAATGTCCCGTGCGAGAGAGGCAGGTTGAGGTTTCCAGGGTAAGAGTAGTGAAGAAGTTATCATATGCTGAGGCAGTGAAGAAAGTAGAGGAAGATGGGTCAAGGGAGAGGAGTGGTGAGAGTAGGAGATATGTACCAGTACAGAGGGATAGGACAACAAGTGATAGATGTCCCATCATTTCAGGTTGTGGGCATGAGGTAGGAATTAATATATTTAAAAAGTGGAGTAGGGTGGTGTTAACTATTAATAATATTTTTGCATTTGTGAGTGTAGTGTTAGATGGTAAGGTATTTATTTTTTATTTTTCAAGCAAAATATAAGGGAGTTGTACTCCAGTCTAGTAGGTGGCGGAAATGCAACAAATTGGATGCCAACCACCATTAAACCTCATCGAAGAAGAAGAAGCTTACTTTCCAGGGTAAGAGTAGTGAAGAAGTTGTCATATGCTGAGGCAGTGAAGAAAGTAGAGGAAGAGGGGTCAAGGGGTGGGGAGTGGTGAGAGTAGTAGATTTGTATATGTTTTGATATGTTTCAGTAAAATTGGATTTTTAGCGTTTATAGCAATGGTTATTAATTGTACTGCAGGGATTGAACGTAAGTCGAAGAAAATTGAGGTTGTGGTGGTAGCTGCAGAGAGGTATTTGTGTGTGCGAGACTTGACATCAGAAGAGTTACAGGGAGTGTTAAGTGGTGATGTCCCATCATTTCAGGTTGAGGTAGGAATGAATATATTTAAATAGTGGAGAAGGGTGGTGTTAATTATTAATAATAATTTTGAATTTGTGAGTGTAGTGTTACATTTACATTTTTACATTTTCGTCATATAGCAGATGCTCTTATCCAGAGCGACTTACAAATTGGTGCATTCACCTTAGATTTTTGTTTTTTTGGGGGGGGGGGGGGGGGGGGGGGTAGAAGGATTACTTTATCCTATCCCAGGTATTTCTTAAAGAGGTAGGGTTTCAAGTGTCTCCGGAAGGTGGTGAGTGACTCCTGGCGTCGTGAGGGAGCTTGTTCCACCATTGGGGTGCCAGAGCAGCGAACAGTTTTGACTGGGCTGAGCGGGAACTGTGCTTCCGCAGAGGTAGGGGGGCCAGCAGGCCAGAGGTGGATGAACGCAATGCCCTCATTTGGGTGTAGGGACTGATCAGAGCTTGAAGGTATGGAGGTGCCGTTCCCCTCACAGCTCCGTAGGCAAGCACCATGGTCTTGTAGCAGATGCGAGCTTCAACTGGAAGCCAGTGGAGTGTGCGGAGGAGCGGGGTGACGTGAGAGAACTTGGGAAGGTTGAACACCAGACGGGCTGCGGTGTTCTGGATGAGTTGTAGGGGTTTAATGGCACAGGCAGGGAGCCCAGCCAACAGCGAGTTGCAGTAATCCAGACGGGAGATGACAAGTGCCTGGATTAGGACCTGTGCCGCTTCCTGTGTAAGGCAGGGTCGTACTCTGCGAATGTTGTAGAGCATGAACCTACAGGATCGGGTCACCGCCTTGATGTTAGCGGAGAACGACAGGGTGTTGTCCAGGGTCACGCCAAGGCTCTTTGCACTCTGGGAGGAGGACACAACGGAGTTGTCAACCGTGATGGCGAGATCATGGAACGGGCAGTCCTTCCCCGGGAGGAAGAGCAGCTCCGTCTTGCCGAGGTTCAGCTTGAGGTGGTGATCCGTCATCCACACTGATATGTCAGCCAGACATGCAGAGATGCGATTCGCCACCTGGTTATCAGAAGGGGGAAAGGAGAAGATGAATTGTGTGTCGTCTGCGTAGCATTGATAGGAGAGGCCATGTGAGGATATGACAGAGCCAAGTGACTTGGTGTATAGCAAGAATAGGAGAGGGCCTAGAACTGAGCCCTGGGGGACACCAGTGGTGAGAGCACGTGGTGCGGAGACAGATTCTCGCCACGCCACCTGGTAGGAGCGACCTGTCAGGTAGGATGCAATCCAAGAGTGAGCCGCGCCAGGGATGCCCAACTCAGAGAGGGTGGAGAGGAGGATCTGATGGTTCACAGTATCAAAGGCAGCAGATAGATCTAGAAGGATGAGAGCAGAGGAGAGAGAGTTAGCTTTAGCAGTGCGGAGAGCCTCCGTGACACAGAGAAGAGCAGTCTCAGTTGAATGACCAGTCTTGAAACCTGATTGGTTTGGATCAAGAAGGTCATTCTGAGAGAGATAGCAAGAGAGTTGGCTAAAGACAGCACGCTCAAGAGTTTTGGAGAGAAAATAAATAAGGGATACTGGTCTGTAGTTGTTGACATCGGAGGGATCGAGTGTAGGTTTTTTGAGAAGGGGTGCAACTCTCGCTCTCTTGAAGACGGAAGGGACATAGCCAGCGGTCAAGGATGAGTTGATGAGCGAGGTGAGGTAAGGGAGAAGGTCTCCGGAAATGGTCTGGAGAAGAGAGGAGGGGATAGGGTCAAGCGGGCAGGTTGTTGGGCGGCCGGCCGTCACAAGTCGCAAGATTTCATCTGGAGAGAGAGGGGAGAAAGAAGTCAAAGCATAGGGTAGGGCAGTGTGAGCAGGACCAGCAGTGTCATTTGACTTAACAAACGAGGATCGGATGTCGTCAACCTTCTTTTCAAAATGGTTGACGAAGTCATCCACAGAGAGGGAGGGGGGGGGGGGGGGGGGGGGATTCAGCAGGGAGGAGAAGGTGGCAAAGAGCTTCCTAGGGTTAGAGGCTGATGCTTGGAATTTAGAGTGGTAGAAAGTGGCTTTAGCAGCAGAAACAGAGGAAGAAAATGTAGAGAGGAGGCAGTGAAAAGATGCCAGGTCCGCAGGGAGTCTAGTTTTCCTCCATTTCCGCTCGGCTGCCCGGAGCCCTGTTCTGTGAGCTCGCAATGAGTCGTCAAGCCACGGAGCAGGAGGGGAGGACTGAGCCGGCCGGGAGGATAGGGGACATAGAGAGGATGCAGAAAGGGAGGAGAGGAGGGTTGAGGAGGCAGAATCAGGAGATTGGAGGGAGAAGGATTGAGCAGAGGGAAGAGATGATAGGATGGAAGAGGAGAGAGTAGCGGGAGAGAGAGAGCGAAGGTTGCGACGGCGTTAGATGGTAGGGTATTTCTTTATTTTAAATTATTTTTCAAGCAAAATGTAAGGGAGTTGTACTCCAGTCTAGTAGGTGGCGGTAATGCAACAAATTGGATGCCAACCGCCGTTAAACCTCATTGAAGAAGAAGAAGAAGAAGAAGAAGAAGAAGAAGCGTATTGAAGGCACAAAAAGACACCATTACTATTGCCAAAGAAAGTTGGCGCGTTCTAGCATACATCTAAACCATGCAACAAAAAAAAAAACACTTTGGCAAAGGGTAAAGTCTACAAAGCTTTGTCCACTGTGTTCGGAACATATTCTAGTTTTGGGAACAGAAAACTGTATTGAGATCCAATGTTTCATCGATGAGAAAATGTGCAGAATTTCAGCAACAATACATCTCGTTTCATCTTCTCCCACTGCCGGCCACTGGGCTTCCTCTCACTACCATATTTGGTAGTGGTTGTGAGCGGAAACTCCAAGCGGCTGCTTCACATTTATACATCCGGTGAAATATCTGTCTCATCGTTCTCTCTGTGGTGGTAAGGTATATTTGCGGACCGCCATAATACCACCGAAGAAGAAGAAGAATAAGCAGCAGAAGAAGATTATCACGGCGCCATTTCAGAAGTCATTCATTGGCGGCCGAATTCATAGTTCAGGTAGGCGACATTTCAATCAGTGGTGAATTTTATTTAAGAAGTTGCTAGAGTTTGCTCTCCTGTACGATATTATCATGATGTGGTGTGTTTGTTATACCAAAAGTAGGAACTAGTTAGCTACGCTAGCCTAGCATCATACCGTGCAAACGTTTCTTCCTACAACTACTGTAGTAGCTGCAGTAGCATACTAGCTAACGCAAACGGCCACCAAGCTAATTTAGCTAGCTAGCTGGTTAGGTTATCAACACCATTTGAATTTCAGTTGGAGGTTTCCGACTGTCGGCCAATGTAAGCCAGGTTGCTATCACATGATGTAACTAAACAAGCTATAGCTAGCTATTTTGGTTATAGTTAGCTAACTAAGTTGGTGCATAGCTAGTTAACTAACGTTAGCTGGCTAAAGTGAGGTAAATTCAACTTTAGACGCGACCTTTGGATTCTAGATAGCTGCTAGATGAGTATATGCAATACCGTGTCATCTTGATAGCTAGCCATGAATGATTAAATGGGAAGTCATCAATGCGAAACAACTGTTTGCTAGTTGGCCTGGTCAGCTAGCTGCGGAAGTAACGTTAACGTTAGCTAACTAGATAACACTAGCTAGCTTGCTGATGTTACGTCAGATAGCTTGCTAACATTTACATTTACATTTTTGTCATTTAGCAGACGCTCTTATCCAGAGCGACTTACATGAGCGACTTAGTGCATGCATTATATATTTTTTTCCCCCTGTGGGAATCGAACCCACAACCCTGGCATTGCAAACGCCATGCTCTACCAACTGAGCTACATCCCCTGCCGGCCATTCCCTCCCCTACCCTGGACGACGCTGGGCCAATTGTGCGCCGCCCCATGGGTCTCCCGGTCGCGGCCGGCTACGACAGAGCCTGGATTCGAACCAGGATCTCTAGTGGCACAGCTAGCACTGCGATGCAGTGCCTTAGACCACTGCGCCACTCGGGAGAATATTTGCTAACATGTTATTATCTTGATATGTATTAAAGTACGCTTATAATTATATGACATTAATTATGAAAGTTGGCAGTCATGCAAAGCTAAGTTTACACGTGGTTCTTTTTTTCATGCTTCAAATATTTGAAATATACTTGGTAAACTTAGTAAACAAAAACAAATTGCTTGTGTCTCCCCTTCCAGGAATAACAACGTTCTGATTTGAAGATGGTGAAAATCTTCATTGGCAATCTCGCCTCCGGCACCACGCAGGACGAGCTACGCACTCTATTCTCTGAGTATGGAAAGATCTCTGAGTGTGACATCGTCAAGAACTTTGGCTTTGTGCACATGAAGGACAAAGCCGAAGCGGAGGAGGCCATCAAGAACCTCCACCACTATGAGCTAAACGGGGCGCAGATGAACGTGGAGATGAGCCGCGGCAGACCAAAGTCCACCACCAAGCTGCACGTCAGTAACATCCCAGAGGGTTGCACCAACGAGGAGCTGAAGACCAAGTTTGAGGCATACGGCCCCGTGGTGGAGGCTGACATAGTGAAGGACTACGCCTTTGTCCACATGGAGTCTGTGGATGATGCCATGGAGGCAATCAGTGGGCTGGACAACACAGCCTTCCAAGGTGAACCCGCAGGCAGGGGAGAGCAGATAGTCTGTGCTCTCCGTAGTTACAGAATACACTTCCCTTTAGATGGCATAAAGATCGTAACGTGATGCCGAATAGCATTTTGTTGTAATTCTGAGGTCAATGAATAAGTAACGGCACTAAGGTTGTGAGTCTTTTCCGTGGTTCTTTTATTCGGTTTCAGCGTAACAGTGCAGGTGAACCAATTTATAATAAATAAGTATTTGCAATAAGGAAATAACTAGTCGTTAAGAAGCAGTGGCGAGCGTGTCAGAAGCCAACCGTCTCATGCGTCTCTTCTCTCTCCTCAAAAGGCAAGCTGATGAGCGTACAACTGTCCACCAGTCGCCTGCGCACGGTCCCGGGAATGGGAGCTCAAACCGGCTGCTATGTCTGCGGGAAACAGGGTCACTGGTCGAAAGACTGCCCGAACGGCGGTCAGAACGGCGGTAGCTACGGTGACCGTGGTGAACGCCCCGGGGGTGGCCCAATGAGGGGCCGAGGCAGGGGCTTCCCACGGGGTTTCAGCAGGGGCGGCGGCGGATACCCTAGTGGCTACGGGATGCCCCCCAGAGCTGCGGCATCCGATTACATGGGCGGGCTAGGGTATAGCAGAGCGTCCAGTTACCTGGGGGGACCTCCCCCTCTGAGCCGTAGGCCTAGCTATGGCTCTGCTCGGGAGTACAGCACAGATGCCAGGGATCGGTACAGCGGCAGGCTACCGAGCTCCTATCCCGAGAGGGCATCGGCCTACGAGCGAGACCACTACAGCAGCAGTGTTGACTATTACGAGAAGTACAGAGCACGGCCATATGGCTCAAGCTATTTTGAAGAGCGCCGCCTCGGCTATATCCCACCTCCCCCTCCCCCCTCTTCCTCCCTCTCAAGGCTCTCCTCTAGTATCGACCCATACGAGCGCCGCCCGCTACCACCAACCTCGGCGGCCGCCTCGTACTACTTGCGAGACCGCAGCCCGATCAGACGAGTGCCCGTCGCCTCTGACAGCTATGGTTACGAGCGCTCGCGGCTGTCCCCGGTGTCCTCCAGAAGCTCTTCGTACGCCGTCCCGCGGGCCAGGGACCCCTACACCGATCGGGCACGCTATGCTTACTGAGCTACACACTGCCAAGGTGAGCCAACCAACTAGGAATACTGGCCCATTCCTGTGGTGTGTGGGTGAGTGTGTTCTGGAATGGTTCGTTCTATTGATTGTAAAACAGGTACTTGATGATGATGTTACGGTGGGGACTGGGATACTGTAGACTCGTGTTCATCTTTATATTTCTTCAATGAAGAACAAGAACTAAGACCCCCACACACACACACAGTGCTTTATAAACCGTGAGACACCATCCCATTTCTCAAAGCGAATGCTCTGCTCTTTTTCTAGGTGTGTATGAAACGCCGGAATTTTCCTTTGCTACCATTCCTCCTCCCAGCTGCATGGTTCCATCGAGCTGTGCCACGTGCCGCAAACAAACCTTTCGCGACTCGGAATGTGATGGCGCGAGAGTGACTCGGACGGAAATTGGTGTGCATCTTCCTGGCACCGGTGTGCCAGCCGCCGGCAGACGAATAATCCTCTCAACTAACCAATCAGTCCACACAACTTCACATTCTTCCTTTATTTTAGTTGTCAGTTACAAAGACTGTTTGCTATCTGAAACAACCAGAGTGGCATTTCTACAGTTTGCTGTTAATACTAGCTTAACTATACCGGCTTTCAAATCGCTTTGTTCATTTGTGTGGGTCACGGTTTTGATTTTAAATGTGTTTTCCCTCCTCCCCTTGTGATAATATCGTCAAAGCAAATTGGCCGCTGAATTTGCCACATTTTTATTTGCGGTTTGAGGTGACTGTAGTTTCGAGAAATATTTCTCCTTTTTGAGAAATCTTGTTTTCATTTCATTGGTTTGTTCAACTATTCATTTAAAACTTGTAATCTCATTCATGCCATGTATAGCTCAGTAGTCATTCAACCACTTTTTTTCTCTTAATTTTTTGCCCCTGGGAAAACAAATGTAAGAATAGACGGGTATGAATATCCCCCAGAACGATCTTTGTGAAATTCATGCACTGGATTTTAGAATGATAACTTTAATATGTACATTTTGTTTGAGGACGTTCTACTTAGGTTAGAGGAAATTCCGTTGTGTCATACTGCTTTTGCTCTCTGAGTTAATATCATCGAGATAGAGGACTCATCTGTGCCGTTATAGCGTTTGTGACTGCATGGGCAGCGCCGTTGAGACCTCCATTTTGAGGTAGTCATTTTTCTTCTTCACAATTGGCAGATCCCTTCTGATTACCCGGTTGGACACAACTCCAACATGGTCACCAGGAGGGATCAACCAATAAAGTGGAAGTCCCACCCTGTTGTCTACATTAAAATGGTGGAAGCCCTCCATGGTGCTGCCCATGCCAAAACTGCTTTTTAGCCACTAGAGGCCTCTATCATTCTCTGGTTAATATCTGCTGTCACAATGACAGTCATTATCCCAAAACAACATTCCAGCTTTAGAATTATTTTGGGCGTATTTGCAGGGTTAAAAACTATCGGAAATATGGCAGTAAACTTGCTTTGCTAGTAATAACCTTCCTAACCAAAAAGAAGCAATCGGTTGGTACTCATTGGAACAATGCATGTTTAATGCACTTCCAAGAGTAACTATTTTTGCAGGATTAGGATGGCCCAATCTGAAATACACCAATTCAAGAGGCTTGTATCAATATCTAAATATTGTTTCTAACAAATCAAGCTTTAATAATCCAACTTGTCCTCTATTAATTGAATATTTATTACTAGACATAAACATGTTGAATACAGTAAATAACATGAGCGTAATTGGCGTTGCTGTCATGACATCACCATTGATATGTAATGGCCTCTAGTCTAATCACTTTCTTAGGGTGCCTTAGTCTGCATTTAGATGGGCAGCCCAATTCTGATATACAAAAAGAGCTGATGTGAAAAGATCTGTTATTGGTCAAAAGACCAATTAGTGGGGAAAATATCAGAAATAGGCAGGCTGTCCAAACAGAACATCAGTCTGCTCAGTTCTTCTGGGAATTGTTGTAGTTTGTATATTTCCTACAGTCAAAGCGTGTACGTTTTATGCATTTTATTTTTTAATAAACCCAAATTTATTTTGGTGAGAATTATATATTTTTTTTATCCTCTCTTCAGACCACATCCATACTTTTTCCACACCAACACTTGATAATGCATTGTCAATACTTTTCTGATACATACTAAGTCAAGAATGAAAGAAAAAAACATTGTCCTTTCGGCCAATCAATAGGTCTGATTTTGCCTTGTGAGGGGAAGGGTAGAGATTGTGCTGTAGGTAGCAGAGGAGCCATTTCACCTCTTCGGAAACTAGTGGCGTCCACCGTGAAAGGTATGAAGGAATGTAGAACATTTAATGTAGCTAGCTATCCATTTATTTTAATGTCATGTTAGAAATTGCCGTTGCAACCAGCACATAAATGAAATACAGCTATGTAAGCTCATAGGACCATCATGCAACGCGTTTCGGATCTATTGTTAGCATAGCATGCTCGCTATGCATGCACAGGCAGACGACAAACTTGCTAGCGTTGCCACAAAAGGCAATTATTAGCTTGGCTGCAGTAGTGTCGCTAGCTCTCATGCACATTACAAACGATTACACGTGCAAATATATGCTTGAGCTATGCTGGTCACTGAAATTGTTATATTAGTTCGCGAGCCTGAATGAATGAGCAATGGACAGCTTGTTTAGTTCATAACCTCTGTTACTAACACTGGTGGCAGAGAGAGTAACCAGCATTGTGATTGGTTAATAACTGGTCCTCCTGCTAATGACCCAATGCATCCACTTACACTGCACAGTGGATTTATTTTATTTTATTTAACCTTTATTTAACTAGGCAATACAGTTAAGAACACATTCTTATTTACAATGACGGCCTACCAACAGGCATCATGCGGGGACAGGGGCTGGGATTTAAAATATAGGACAAAACACACATGACGAGAGACACCACAACACTACATAAAGAGAGACCTAAGACAACAACATTATTGATAGAGAGCATATTAATAAACCCATTTGATATTTTAATAGGTTACTCTATATGCTCTTAGTTCATAATACTTTTTTTAATCAAATGATTTCCTATGTCTAATATACTCTTCCACTGTTCATATACTGAAGCGGGAGCATCACCATGGTGAAAATCTTCATCGGGAACTTGTCTCCAGACACCACGGCAGAGGAGTTGCGTTCCCTCTTCTCCCAGTATGGAAAGGTCTCAGAGTGTGACATTGTCAAGAACTTTGGCTTTGTGCACATGAACGTCAAAGCCGAAGCGGAGGAGGCCATCAAGAACCTCCACCACTATGAGCTCAACGGGGAGCAGATGAACGTGGAGATGAGCCGCGGCAGACCCAAAGCCTCCACCAAGCTGCACGTGGGCAATATCAACAGCAGCTGCACCAACCAAGAGCTGCGTGCCAAGTTTGAGGAGTACGGCCCCGTGGTGGAGTGTGACATAGTCAAGGACTATGCCTTTGTCCACTTGGAGCGTGTGGAGGATGCCATGGAGGCCATCAGTGGATTGGACAACACAGCCTTCCAAGGTGAACTCACACAGGCAGGGCTTGGTTGGTCAGTGGCTGGTGTGGTGTAGGTCTCCCCCTGGTAATTAGAATGAGCTCTATTCACTAACAAAACTGATAGGTAAGTCATGGATAAAGGTAAGTGGTGAAAGAGTAAGGGACAGTCAACCGCTATCTCAAAATGCATCAAACACGTTGTACACATTTCCCCCCAAGTTCAGGCCAGAATTTGGCCTCTAGATTTGCCTGCATAGAACATGGAACAATCGTCAGGTTTCACTTGCAGAGGAGTTCCAAAATGAATGCTATTGGGGTAATAGTTTAGTTAGTGCCTGGGTTTTATCTTATTTCGTAGAGCATGTGCATAGATGGAACAGTTTATTGTATCGTGGTAAACTCTTGCGTCTTTCTTTTTTAAGGCAAACTGATGAGCGTGAAGCTTTCGACTAGCCGCCTGCGTACTGCGCCGGGCATGGGAGAGAGGACGGGTTGTTATCGGTGCGGGCAGGAAGGCCACTGGTCCAAAGAGTGCCCGCTCGACACGTTGGGCAACTACAGAGAGGGTGCTGAGCCAAGCTCTGACGGATTCAATGGCGGTGCCCCTAGGTTCGGCGGGGGCAGTCGCGGTGGCCGCGGTTATCACCGGGGCTTGAGTGGCAGCAATCCAGGTTACAGTGGCGGTGATCCAGGTTACAGTGGAAGCTATGCTCCCGCGCACGGCTTCGGCAGCAGGGAGTCTGCTTACGGCAGCGGCCGTGTGCCCGTGTACGGCAGGGGCGCAGGCTACGAGAGCGCATTGAGTTACGGGGTCCCGCCGGGTTACGGAATGAGCGCCGCCGAACATAGCATGGCCCGGGTGTACGCCAGCGAGGCAGCGTACGGAGGCAGCAGCTGGAGCCACGGCGTGGTCCCAGCCTACCCTGTGCGCCGGTCATCGTATGAGGACCGGGATCCGTATGGCGCCGTGGACTTCTACGAGAAGTACCGGGCTCGCCCGTATGGAGGCAGTTATTTCGAAGAGCGCCGGTCTGTCCCTTTGCCCGGCCCACCTCCCCCTTCCTCCTCGGCCATAATGAGGGAGCGCCTGCCACCCTCTAGCCTCGACCTATACGAGCGCCGTCCCCTCCCTTCTCCACCAGCCCCCCTCTCCTCATACTATTCCCGCGACCGGAGCCCGATCCGGCGAATCCCTACCGAGGCCTACGCGTACGAGCGCGCGCGCCTCTCCCCGGTGTCCTCCCTCCCCAGAAGCTCGGCTTACGACATCCCGCGGGACCCCTATGCCGAGCGGGCGCGCTATGCTTACTAACCTTTCTCCCTCTTGTCCAGGTGAGACCTGATTAGCTTTCACAGGTTAGCGTGATTAAGTTCCCAGGGAACTAGTATTAATGTAAACACTGGGTGTTTGATAGTTTATCTCCTAGGTAACGTCCTAGGTAAACGTCAGGTTTTCTGTCTTGACATAGGTTGATAAGTCTGATGCCCATCAAGCTTGTTGATTAAATAGAAGAGAATGCATGCCGTAGAACTTGAATGCAACTTGTGGGTGACCATGTTACTATTTGGTATGCTCTCTTTTCAGGTATCGTGACAGTCTCGTGCTCGGTTGACCATCTTTGTTTCGTCTCACAATGCATTCGATTGTGGGACTGTGAAAGTGCAGACGTTTAGCTTCCCTGTTCGGTATCTGTCTCGTGTGTCCAACTGATAGCTTAGTAATGTTTGTATTTCCCAACTGAAAGCAGAATGTACATATAGATTTTAGGTTTGTATCAAAAAGCAACCAAGTACACATGTTTTGATTTTAATGTGAGTCCTGCAGTTACAAGAGAAGTAGCACTAGATGAATCATTCAATGCATTTGACTTTAGGTAGCAGTTTTATGCATTAGTGTGATGAATGCAATAATTTGCTAATTATGTTCGATTAATTTTAAAACCATCGAAATACATACATGTATTGTGAATGAATTTGTAAATAATACAAATACAATTCTACTCTACACCTAAGGCAGGGGCCACAATGGACAAATTAACAAATCCCGCTTTTTGGCTTAACTTCCAGTGGTAAAGAAGAATATAACTTGCACCTGCATCAAATAAAATGTTTCACTTCAAATATTACTGTATTATTCAGATGTGTGTGTGAATGAAATATTACACTTTGAATAGATTCTAAAAGTTTTTGAACATTTCTAAACTGTTGTGTAGTTTATTACATCACCATGGGCTGGCTTCATAAACCCATTCCATCTTGACAAAATCAGTGTTTAATGAGTGGATTTGGCACTATTTGTCCTGTCCTGAATGATGATATGAGAAATATTTCTGTCCATCTGTTTCTCAATAAAATCACTGTCTGAAAAGTTGTATTTGTCTTTTGATTCATGATTTCTTACCATGTTTTGTTCACTTTCCCCCATTCTTATTTTGGAAGGTACAGTTGAAGTCGGAAGATTACATACATTTAGGTTGACGTCAGTAAAAACCCATTTTTCAACCACTCCACAAATTTCTTATTAACAAACTATAGTTTTGGCAAGTTGGTTAGGACATTTACTTTGTGCATGACACAAGTAATTTTTCCAACAATTGTTTATAGACAGATTAATTCACTTATAATTCACTGTATCACAATTCCAGTGGGTCAGAAGTTTACATACACTAAGTTGACTGTGCCTTTAAACAGCTTGGAAAATTCCAGAAAATTATGTAATGGCTTTAGAAGCTTCTGATAGGCTAATTGACATAATTTGAGTCAATTGGAGGTGTACCTGTGGATGTATTTCAAGGCCTACCTTCAAACTCAGTGCCTCTTTGCTTGACATCATGGGAAAATCAAAAGAAATCAGCCAAGACCTCAGAAAAAATGTGTAGACCTCCACAAGTCTGGTTCATCCTTGGGAGCAATTTCCAAATGCCTGAAGGTACCACATTCATCTGTACAAACAATCGTATGCAAGTATAAACACCATGGGACCATGCAGCCGTCATACCGCTCAGGAAGGAGACGCATTCTGTCTCCTAGAGATGAACGTACTTTGGTGAAAAAAGTGCAAATCAATCCCAGAACTACAGCAAAGGACATTGTGAAGATGCTGGAGGAAACAGGTACAAAATTATCTATATCCACAGTGAAACGAGTCCTATATCGACAAGAAGAAGCCACTGCTCCAAAACCGCCATAAAAAAGCCAGACTACGGTTTGCAACTGCAAATGGGGACAAATATCATACTTTTTGGAGAAATGTCCTCTGGTCTGATGAAACAAAAATATAACTGTTTGGCCATAATGACCATCGTTATGTCTGGAGGGAAAAGGGGGATGCTTGCAAGCCGAAGAACACCATCCCAACCCTGAAGCACGGGGTGGCAGCATCATGCTGTGGGGGTGCTTTGCTGCAGGAGGGACTAGTGCACTTCACAAAATAGATGGCATCATAAGGATGGAAAATTATGTGGAAATATTGAAGAAACATCTCAAGACATCAGTCAGGAAGTTAAAGCTTGGTCGCAAATGGGTCTTCCAAATGGACAATGACCCCAAGCATACTTCCAAAGTTGTGGCAAAATGGCTTAAGGACAACAAATTCAAGGTATTGGAGTGGCCATGAGCCCTGTCCTCAATCCTATAGAACATTTGTGGGCAGAATAGAAAAAGCGTGTGCGAGCAAGGAGGCCTACAAACCTGACTCAGTTACACCAGCTCTGTCAGGAGGAATGGGCCAAAATTCACCCAATTTATTGTGGGAAGCTTGTGGAAGGCTACCCGAAAGTTTGACCCAATTTAAACAATTTAAAGGCAATGCTACCAAATACTAATTGAGTGTATGTAAACGTTTGACCTACTGGGAAATGTGATGAATGAAATAAAAGCTGAAATAAATAATTCTCTCTACTATTATTCTGACATTTCACATTCTTAAAATAAAGTGGTGATCCTAACTGACCTAAGACAGGGAATTTTTACTAGGATTAAATGTCAGGAATTGTGAGAAACTGAGTTTAAATGTATTTGGCTAAGGTGTATGTAAACTTCCGACTTCAACTGTAGTTGTGTTTTCCCCCTAGAATCTCAGCAGCAGAATGAAAACAACTGCTCACATTTTAGTCTATTGCTCCTCATCAAGTACTCTTGAATGATATTGGTAATATTGTATGGTACAGTAGTTAGCACACCTTATTGGTGGTTAATCCACAATGTGGTTTCTGAAAAGGTTCCTTCAGTGTATATCATGTTATTACATTTAAGTAATTTAGCAGACACTCTTATCCAGAGTGACTTACAGTTAGTGAGTGCATACATTATTTTTTTATTTTTCATACTGGCCCCCCGTGGGAATCGAACCCACAACCCTGGCGTTGCAAACGCCATGCTCTACCAACTGAGCTACATCCCTGCCGGCCATTCCCTCCCCTACCCTGGACGACGCTGGGCCAATTGTGCGCCGCCCCATGGGTCTCTAGTGGCACAGATAGCACTGCGATGCAGTGCCTTAGACCACTGCGCCACTCTGGAGTATACAATTTGGTTAAGCTTACACATGGGTTTGATGATTTGAAATGCTGGATGTGTAAATAATTATAATACATCATATAAAATCAAGAAAAGCACACCCACCAACTTGAACTTTGATTTTCAATTAATTGATTTAGTATTTGTAGTACTGAGTGATCATTTCAATCCTACAATTTTATTGCAATTGTAGTTTTTTCCAATGCCTTTTTTATTTGATTAAATGTATCAATCCAAAGTGACAAGTGAAGTGCATGATCAGTCCCCCTTGGAAAAGGGTTAGTGCAGTGGTTCCCAAACTGTGGGTCGTGACCCACTTGTGGGTCATGGCAGGTGTCCATGTGGATCGCGGGATGACTTTAAACTTTAATTAATTTGCATTTTATTGCATGACATAAGTATTTGATCACCTACCAACCAGTAAGAATTCCGGCTCTCACAGACCTGTTAGTTTTTCTTTAAGAAGTCCTCCTGTTCTCCACTCATTACCTGTATTAACTGCACCTGTTTGAACTCGTTACCTGTATAAAAGACACCTGTCCACACACTCAATCAAACAGACTCCAACCTCTCCACAATAGCCAAGACCAGAGAGCTGTGTAAGGACATCAGGGATAAAATTGTAGACCTGCACAAGGCTGGGATGGGCTACAGGACAATAGGCAAGCAGCTTGGTGAGAAGGCAACAACTGTTGGCGCAATTATTAGAAAATGGAAGAAGTTCAAGATGACGGTCAATCACCCTCGGTCTGGGGCTCCATGCAAGATCTCACCTCGTGGGGCATCAATGATCATGAGGAAGGTGAGGGATCAGCCCAGAACAACACGGCAGGACCTGGTCAATGACCTGAAGAGAGCTGGGACCATAGTCTCAAAGAAAACCATTAGTAACACACTACGCCGTCATGGATTAAAATCCTGCAGCGCATGCAAGGTCCCCCTGCTCAAGCCAGCGCATGTTCAGGCCCGTCTGAAGTTTGCCATTGACCATCTGGATGATCCAGAGGAGGAATGGGAGAAGGTCAGGTGATCTGATGAGACAAAAATAGAGCTTTTTGGTCTAAACTCCACTCGCCGTGTTTGGAGGAAGAAGAAGGATGAGTACAACCCCAAGAACACCATCCCAACCGTGAAGCATGGAGGTAGAAACATCATTCTTTGGGGATGCTTTTCTGCAAAGGGGACAGGACGACTGCACCGTATTGAGGGGAGGATGGATGGGGCCATGTATCGCGAGATCTTGGCCAACAACCTCCTTCCCTCAGTAAGAGCATTGAAGATGGGTCGTGGCTGGGTCTTCCAGCATGACAACGACCCGAAACACACAGCCAGGGCAACTAAGGAGTGGCTCCGTCAGAAGCATCTCAAGGTCCTGGAGTGGCCTAGCCAGTTTCCAGACCTGAACCCAATAGAACATCTTTGGAGGGAGCTGAAAGTCCGTATTGCCCAGCGACAGCCCCGAAACCTGAAGGATCTGGAGAAGGTCTGTATGGAGGAGTGGGCCAAAATCCCTGCTGCAGTGTGTGCAAACCTGGTCAAGACCTACAGGAAACATATGATCTCTGTAATTGCAAACAAAGGTTTCTGTACCAAATATTAATTTCTGCTTTTCTGATGTATCAAATACTTATGTCATGCAATAAAATGCAAATTAATTACTTAAAAATCATACAATGTGATTTTCTGGATTTTGGTTTTAGATTCCGTCTCTCACAGTTGAAGTGTACCTATGATACAAATTACAGACCTCTACATGCTTTGTAAGTAGGAAAACCTGCAAAATCGGCAGTGTAT